CACACACACACACACACACACACACCACACACACACACACACACACATCTTCGTAGTTTCTGTCCATTTTCTAGTTGGATTGTGTGTTTAACAATAAAATATTTTACTGTTAAGTTTTAACAAAAATGTGTATGTGTGTTTTTCACAGGTTTGAAGTGAGTTTCTATTTCTTGTAAGCCTAACATTCATGGGTCATCTGCCCTGTATGTAAGGACAGTCCCAAGATCTGACATTCTCTGAGGCCTTTCTTTGTGCAGGTGCTGTTCTCCGTGACACACAGGTCTTAGCTTCCTTGAAAAGAGCAGCTTTTATAAACATAGTCTGCTTTTGTTATAAACGTGAACTGTTCTGACTCAGTTTACGAATCCGACAGTCCGCATAAATCAGTGGCTCCTGCCATCCAGCAAGGCTTAAAGGCGAAGGAGCTGAGTTTATTTGTGTCTCTGCTGGCTGAAAGAGAATTTAAAGTGTCACAGGGCTCATGAGTCAGAGCAGATACTCTTCCAGTGAGACAAGCGTTCACATTTAACAATGACATCATATGTACATGCTGTTATTCACACCGAGAAACTCACCGACAACATTCAGTTCAACCAAGTCTGCATAATGAAACCCTCAGACCTTAGCCTCGCTGTAAGCAAAGGAGGACAAACACCACCCACTTACAATGTAAAGTTTTAGCTACTGCACTGGTGTGAGCCAAGTGGACACAAGGTTTTCAGATTTATTAAACTCTCATGTCAGGCTAGGATCCTATTTCCTGAGGGTTGATCCTATTGCCCGAGGTCCAGCTGCTGCAGCTGGAGCACTGGTTGCTAGCTCTCTGGCTCACACGGAGGCTCCAGAGGTTGACTGTCCTATGGGTCTTCAGCAGAACTACCCCCAGATGCATGCAGAGGTGACTGGGCACTCTTCTTCTACAAGGGCGGTGAGTCAGTTCACTGAGGCACCTGTCATGGGATTCCTGGGTTAGAAATACATGACCTGGGTCTCCACGGTGCCATCAGGCAGCAGGTGGAGATCTGAGCGCTGAGTGTCCCGTCACGTACAGTCTGAGCTACGACAGGTGGCAGTGCAGGGACCAGGGTGCAGATCTGCATATCTTGGGCCCCACAGCCTTTGCTGGAGGTCCAGCTGCTGCAGCTGGAGCACCGGTTGCTGGCTCTCTGGCTCACACGGAGGCTGGCTTGGCAGGTACAGTGACAGCCTCTTGCAATCTGACTTTCTCAGCTGAGCAGTGTGAGGAGCAGTCTCCACCCAGCCTTCCCCACCTGCCTCCTCCAGCCTCACTCTTACCCTGCTAACCTCTTAGCCCTGACTCCACTGATTTCTTTTGTGGCCTTGGCTTTCTTTGATGCATGGTATATTTTTCTACAATAATGGAGCCTTTCTCCTTGTTTATCATTCTATATCAGCTCAGCTCGGGGGGTGGGGAGACATCCACTGAGACTCCTGACAGTGGCTCTACCTGGCACACCTTTCTCTTTCTTTCTAACATGATTTTCCTACTTTTTGTGCCTCAAAATTCAGATTGAGGCCTTACGCCCTAACAGGTGCCCTGTTTGAAGTGTCTTTGTTATAAATGGGTAATCCGCTACAGAGTGACTCTCTCTCTCTCTCTCTCTCTCTCTCTCTCTCTCTCTCTCTCTCTCTCTCTCTCTCTCTGTGTGTGTGTGTGTGTGTGTGTGTGTGTGTGT